CAATATTAGTCATCGCAGTAAGTGTCCCGAGGTTGGATTTGAACTCAGGTTCTCCTTCCACCAGAGGCAATGCTCTATCCAGTGCACCACCTAATTTACTCTGTTCCCTATTTACACTTCATGCATCTGTATATAGTGGTAATCTGAATCTATGCGTTTTGTTTCTGGCTTTTTTTTCTTGGATATTACTTCCCATGAATTATTGGTCCTATCTTCTGGATTCTATGTCATTACCTGCTATTGTTTATGGAAATAAACTGTTCAGATCTATGGTCTACCTTGCCCAAGGTCTCCTCATACTTTCATTTGTTTCCCTACAGGCTTTGTTCTTTGGATCCTTGTTAAGTTATTGTGAGATCACCCTTTCAGTTGAATTCACCTAATATTTACTGATCATTCCCTGCTTCTCATTCAAACAGATTTTTTTTATTTTTGCTTTTTGGTAAGGTGATCAGGGATAAGTGACTTGCCCAGGGTCACACAGTTAGTAAGTGTCAGATGTATGAGGCCGAATTTGAACTCAGGTCCCCCTGACTCCAAGGCCAGAGCTCTACCCACTGCGCCACCTAGCTGCCCCTTCAAACAGATTTAAAACAAATATCTGGGTAATACCTTTGCCACAATATATTAAGAGGCCAATAACAGACATTAAATTGTTTTAAACAAAAACAAGTATTTAATGGATTTTTTTCTCAACACTTAATGAATAAAGCATTATGTGGTTAGTTATTTTGAGTATGTCAGTTACATTATTCTAAAATTCAATAAATTATATTTCAGATCACTCAATGTTAAGAAACTTAAAATACTTGACCCACACAATTAAGCCCGCATAAATTTGTGATGCACTCAATCTAACTCAGCAACAGTAGTCGAGTGTTTAAAATGTGCCCAATGTTACACTATATACCGGATATAAACCAGGAAAAAAACAAAGCCCTCTGCTCTCAAGGAGCTTACACTACATACTACATTGTTTCAAAATGTATCTAGATGTACTTTCCTCCAAAAAGTCTTCCTTGATACTCCCAATTGTGCTATTTCCTAGCTTCTTATACTGTATTATTATTATTATTGTTGTTGTTGTTATACTTGTGTATATCCCCCACAACCCAAGTGGTATATAGGCTCTTTGAGGGTAGTCTGTTTCTTTAGTCTGTGCATCCCCAGTTCCAATCACAGTGCCTTACTCACGTAGTAGGTGCATAATAAATATCTGTTGTTAAAGTGAATCTTCATTTTCTTCTATTTATTCATAGTTTATGAAAGACAATTTTTGCTTTTCAATAAAGGATTTCTTATAATGAAACCATCTAAAGGATATTTTATTTCTAAAAGGCCCTAAAAACCTACTGTTGTTAAAAAATGTATTATCATATCAATAGTCTCTAATGAATCCAGGTGCCTGAGTTCTACAGATTCACTGGTAAGAATCTTTTTTAAACCAACTCAGCAGTAAATAGATCTCAAATAATTTACCTTTATTCCTGAAACTCATCAGACTATTAGGGAGGCTTGATTACAAAATGTAACTGTGTCAAAGCTGACTCTTTTTTTTTTAGCAATTGAACAAAGACCTTAGTACCACCTATTAGGCACAACGGCAAGAAAATAATCTAAAGACAGTGCTCATTTAATTTTAAGTGCTTATCAAATAACTGTCATTGCACATTTCCTTTTCCAAAAATATCAGTGGCACTATTTTGTTCATGACTATCAGAATTACTTAAATTTGTATTGTTTTACAGTTTGTTAAATTCTTTCATTTAAAGTATCTCACCTGTGCTAAACTGAGCAAATATTAAGATCCCCAATACTTAGATGAGGAAGCTGAGGCTCAGGTACTTGCCAAGGTTGCATGGGTTAAGGATTCAGGGCTACATAAAAGCATTTCTCTAGGTTTCCAAATTTTGTTGTTACGTTGTTTCAGTCATGTCCAACTCTTTGTGACCCCATTTTGGAGTTTTCTTGGCAAAGATCGTGGAATGGTTTGACATTTCCTTCTCCAGCCCTTTTTAATAGATGAGGAACTGAGGTAAACAGAGTTAAATGACTTGCCCAAAGCCACACAGCTAGTAAGTGTCTGAAGCCATATTTGAATTTATGAAGAGCCCAGTGCACTCACTCTCCACTGTATCACTTAGCTGCCCCAGGTTTCAGAATTGCCATTATTTTATACATTTTTCTATCTCCGTGTTAAAAACTTAAGAGAGGCTATAAGAGCTCTAATTTATAATTTGGCTCATTAATTAATTGCCGTCTGACTGGACCAATTTTTTGAAAAGAAGAATGTTATCCTAGGACATGAACACATAGTTGGAAAACAAACGAAGACTTTCTTGGATACTCAATGTAATCTAATTAAACATTTATTCCCATTGGATAGTTCTATTTAATAATTTCTTTTTAAATGAATTTTTAATCTCTTGCTTTTATGTAACATTTATTTCCTAATAAAGCCTGCTCCCACCCAAAGAGCCATCTTTTTTAACGAAGAATAAAAATTGAATGAGAAAAAAAAAAGTTCAGCAAAACTAACCAACACATCAAATATGTTCAACAGTATATGCAGTATTCCACAATTCCTCAGGGCTGTTTATCAATTATAATTACACTTAACACTTTTTTTTAAATTTTTCCCATTTTCATTGCTGTGGTCATTGCGTGATTCCCCCCCCCTCCTTCCTTGTTTTGTATCAATTCATATGCCATTAAGTGTTTATAGCACATTTAAATAGGGTACACCTCTAGGGAAATCTATTTAAAGGTGAACATTTATTGAATATTTAGTCCCTTCTATTAGTTTTATTCATTAAGAAACCAAAACATTAGATTTTTAAAATTTGGCAACTAAACTTTATTTTTAAAATGCAAACTTATTTTGAGACATCTAGCACACTCTGTATACATACCTAAGATTTATGCCTTGCAATAGCATAAAGGCATAGCTCATTACAGCAAAGTTTAATAATTTATAAATAATACATAAAACAGCTCCAAGGGATGCTCTAAGATTAGGTTCCTAATACAGCCCTTGACCTGTTGTAACCAATTTATCATGACTTTTCCCCCAAAAGCATATGAACAATTATGTTTAAAATCAAATAGAATCTGTACTCCATGAAGTTCTCATTGAGAATTAACATTAATTACAATTTTGCATGGGGTTTTTCTAAATGTAAAAATCTGATTGAAGAGGGAAAGAATCCCACTAAAAATTATTTTAGAAATCACTTTATCTCCTTACTATTAACTCAAACTAGTTGGTGTTTCCTAAATAGCTAAAGTTGATGATTAGAAAACACACCTTAATGTCTTGACAAATAAAGACAATGTTTAGAGGAAAGAAACATGTATACTATAAAAGCCACAATTTGGAAATCTTTGGATCTAAAAGCAAGCAGTTAATTACTAACAAACTAGTGCTTACAAGCTTTCACAGTGACTGCACAATTAGCACTTAATATTGTGACTAGGGAATGAACTATCTACAATCTATTGAAAAGACCATCTGCTTCTATAAATTGTATTCCCTTATTCTTGCCAGGAGACCATATTTTTAAATGGCACTACCCTTTTAATTGCTAGTTGTTTGCAGTTGTGTTTTGCTATTAGGATTTATTAAGCCATTGTTTCAGTGGAATAAAAAATGTAGCTAAGATTATGCAATGGTTATTTTAGGCTATTTTCACCTACAAATTCCATTTTCCTTTACATTGAAATCTGTAATTTAACATAACTACAAATACATCTACACAAAAAGCATTTATTCTTAAGGTAACAGGCCAATATGTATTACTAATGGTTCTTACTTATTTGAAGGTAGATAACTCAGAAACATTATGTGATATCTTTTGCTGACTACTGGGGATAAAAAGGCAGATGCAGATAGGCATGCCAGTCCACTGGTTAACAGAATGCAATAGGAGAGGACAGAGGTGTTACAAATGGTGAGGAATAAAGAGATGGTTCCCACCACCAAATTGGGCATCAACCAAAGGAAATATGGAAAGGAAACTTGCTCAACTACAAGCAAATTTATAAACTATTAGACCGAATTGGGAATTCAGTTGATCCCTTCATTACAGGAAAGAGAAAACGGAGGCCCAAAGAGGCTGAGATTTACCCAGGGGTACACAACAGCGCTCTTGTTTCTGCTCAGTACCTAGCTCGTTACTTTTCTTGCATTCTAACGGCAATGTGAACATCCTGGACAGGGTGATGTCTCCCTACCCCCAACCCAGACTAATAGTTGCTTGTATTAAGAACCATAAAGCATTGACTAGCATAAAAGGCAGATGTCGAATGTAAATTTGTAATTTGAGTATCGATACCAAACGAAAAGCTGTTTCTAAAGTGGAAACAATAATTTCCAACCTCTTGCTTCTCATTCTCGGTGACAGCCGTCCCCATTCCCCCGCCCAATGCGTCTTTCTTATTTCGGTCCAGTTTCCTCTTCTAACTCCCCCCCCCTTATTTTACAATCACCCTGCGCACTTTTCAGATAAGCGCAGTATAGCTCCTGAGCCCCACCCTACCCGCCTCCTAACCAGACCAGTAATGTCGCTGGGACAAGATTGGACAAGAGCTACTGCTCGTAGTTGTCACACTTGAACCTGAACAAGTTCCTAAGTGCTTGTTTCCATCGCAGAACGCCTTATAATCATATAAACTTCCTCTTTTTTGCACACTCTCCCCATGCTCAGTTTGCTTTGGTCAATCCTAATTTAAAGAAAGCATATAAATATGCAAGGGGTTCCATTGCACCTCCCACTCCGTACGGTTTTGATGCTGGGTGCATCTCTAGCTTTAACGATCATTAGTGGACCGCTTCCTTCCCTTCCCCATCTCCCAGCTTGGAGCACGGTTTCTCCCCCCCCCGCCCCTCCACCAGGGAAGGAAACAAACAAGACAGCGCGCGGCCCCAGGCGAAGCCCGGGACTGGAGGAAGAGGAGCTCGAGCCCGCCTCCGCGTGGCCGCGGACTGCGCTAGTGCGCAGGCTCGGCAGCAGCGGGGTGCTGAACCCGAGCAGCAGGCTACCTCATCTCTTCCCAGTCAGAGTGCCCGTACAAGTAACTGTACAGCACTCAGCCTACTCTGCGTTATGGTACTACTGGGGCGGGGGAGAAGAGGAGGGAAGGGAAAGTGCACGCACATACGCCGCCAGCCGGTTAGGTAGTGAGAGGGGCTGGGAGGGGGAGGGTTGTTGGGGGAGACTCCGTCAACGAAGCCGTTTCCGGGTCACGTGCGCCCGTTTCCGGCGACGAACGGTGGAGCGGCGCAGCCCACCTGCTTTGTAGCGGGGGGCGGGGAGTGGTGGTGGGGAGATCCGGGAGCCGGTTTCCCCGTTCAGCTTACCCCGCCCCCTCCCTCCAGCCCCCGCCCCGGATCCCCGGGCTCCTCCCTCGGCCGGCCCCCGGGGCGGGGCCTCCCCCGCCCGGCTCTCCCTCTCTCTCTCCCCACGCCCCGCCTGCTCGGCTCCCAGACGCTCGGAGGGGGCTTTTCACTTGGCTGCTGCTGCGGGCTCCGGGAGCGGCGGGCGGCCGGGCGGCGACGGCGCTTCCCTCCCGTCTGCGGCCACAGTAAGTGTGCGCGCGGGGGGGACCCCTCGTGGGAGGGGCTGTCACGTGGCGGGGGGAGTGTGGCCCCCCGCGCCCTCCTCCTCTCCGCCCCCCCATCGTAACATTCTCTCCACTCGCGCGCGCGCGTGGGTCTGGAGCGGAGACTTCCCCGAGTGTCTTCTCCCCTCCCCGTGGACCGCGCCCCTAAGGTGACCCACGGGGTGGGGACACGCACCCCCTCAAGTCCCACATCCCCCACCCCCCGCTTTCATCCCGGAGAAGAGATGGGGAGCGGAGGCATGACTTAATTCCGTTCCCTGTGGGGGGGTTGTTGTGTTGGGGTTGTCTCGGGCACTCTTGCCTGGGGGGCAAGCGGAGTCGCTTCCCCTAACTCGGGGTCCCCTCCCGGCGCCCCCACCCTGGCATGCGGGGATTCCCTTCTGTCAGCTCGCCCTCTCCCGGCGGGCTGGCAGGTGACGGATTGTCTCCAGCCGAAATGGACTTTTGCTGCCCAGGGATGGGGAGTCTGGGGGACCGGGGGAGGGAGGAGAGGGAGATTTGTCCTGGGTAGGGGTCCGCGCCGAGGGGACGGAGCGCGGCCGCCGGGGCCATTGTCTCTAACGTTCCCCTTTCACCCTCCTTTCCTGGATATCCTGGAGCATCGTTTTTGGACTAAAGGAAGAATAGGAAAACAACTATGACTCTAAAAGCGTTTTTGTCATTAGTCTTCCAGGCAACACTGCCCGCCCCCCTTAAAAAGAAATCTCCCATCTCCCTTTTGCTCTATTTATTTACTTAAGATCACAATGAAAGGGGTTGATTTCACAGGGGCTTGAGGTGTAATGTTTTCTGAGTAGGTATAGTACCAGTTTGTCAGGTAACTTGTTTTATAGAAGTGGTTTATTTAATGTGTTAAGTAGGAGTACTGGCGAAGTACTCCCCTCCTTCCCTCCAGCTGATAGTCTACACTTTTCGTCTCAATTCTGCAAGATCTAGGGAAATGGAATCCATTCTCTTCCAAGTTCTGTAGGCGCTTGGAGATTTGAAAGGGACCTTTCGTTTCCTTTTACGAAAATTGCAGTATTCGTTTGTGAGGAGCTTTGAGAACCATGGAAAGGTGTACAGCATTTATGTTATTAGCCCAATGCTTGAGTCACAGGAAGCATTAATAAATATGTTGCAGTGCCGTCCTCGTTTGTGAGGAGCTTTGAGATCCTTGGAAAAGTATTTATATTAGCCTAGTGTTTGACCCATAGTAAGCGTTTAATAAATATATTGCAGTACTCGTTTGTGAGGAGTTTTGAGATCCGTGGAAAAGTATTACTATTATTAGCCCAGTAACTGACTCATAGAAAGCGTTTAATAAGTGCTTAAAGACTGTTTGACTGTGTGTTTTGTTAAATGAGATAGAATTAGCTTAGGTCTTTAATGGGTCGAATAAGATTAGCCCAGGCAAAAATGTAAGATATCTTTGGTTTTTTGTGATTTTGAAAATTATTTTTTACAAAATTGAGATAGGGCCTATTTCATACCAAAAATGTATTTTAAAAAGTCAACATTTATGAATGTTAGAAAAAATCCAGAATTACAATTGTACCTGAAATGTTAACATTACCCAAAAAAGCTGATGATATGTTGAAAAAGTACATATGAAATATATTTTCATGTATTCAGTATTTCCTTATTTGTAGTTTAAAAGTTAAATTTAATTAAAATAAGCTTTCCTGAAATAATACATTTTTAAACGGTCAAAATTTTATTTGCAGACCTTAACTAAGCACACAAATATCAAATACTTTAAAAGATAGCATTTGTATATATGTAACTTTCATAATATAGCCGTGCCCCAGCTTGGCACAGTATGTATTGTTTTGAATTTTTATAAAATGAATATGGGAGCAGAAATTCAATTTGAAATTATGGTTGGTCTTTCATATTTTTTATTTCTGTTAAAAGATACCAACTGAAATGTAATTTGTCTTGAAAAGTGCCTTCCAGTTGGGACAAATAAGGTATGAGAAGAGAAAACCAGCATGTTTTACCACTACATTAGATGTCACTAAAACATGTTATTCTTTGCCTTTTTAAAGCATATTAAAGGTGACAGTTCCCTGCTCTAACCACGCAATATTTTATTTTCAACTATATTTCTGAGTTTGTATCAGAGTAGTGAGTGTATGTATGTGTGTGTGAGAGAGACAGCTCTGTGAATGATTTATTTTTTAATTTAGTGTGGATATCGTGGTAATCATCTTTCAATTTACTTTCTCTCTGCTGTTATAATTGAGCTTGTTGAAAACTACATTGAAAAAATGTAGCTTTATCTCAGTGTGTAGAACCAAAGACCTGAAAGTAAGATTTGTTTTGTTTATTTTAACAGATGCAGTTTATGTTGCTTTTTAGTCGTCAGGGAAAGCTCCGACTCCAGAAATGGTATGTCCCGCTATCCGACAAAGAAAAGAAAAAAATCACAAGAGAACTAGTTCAAACAGTTTTAGCCCGTAAACCCAAAATGTGCAGCTTTTTGGAGTGGCGAGATCTGAAGATTGTCTACAAAAGGTATAATTTTCATTTATAAGAAAATTGTAGTAGCAGACCAAATTTTAGTTCATGAATGGTAGTCAAATAGGAATGAAAATCAACTAATTTTGAGAGATGACTTATTTGGACAGGTATACAATGAGGAAGATTAAAGTAGATTTAAAGTAATGAAACCTTAGATAAAGTAAATTATAGTCTCCCTCCTTTGTTGACACAAATTGGAATGACAAAAATCAGGAAATACTTTTAGTAGATGATTCTTTCAAAGTTTAAAAATAACTTTAATGGTGTGTATACTCATTTATAAATTTATTAATTTTCCACATGTATTAACTTTTAGAAAAAGTAAATAATCATAGCACATTTAAATAGCATTTTAAGAGTTGCAAAGCACTTTTCCTCAACAGTCTTCTGAGGTAGGTAGTACAACTATTATCTACATTTTGTTGAGGTTTTTGAAAAGACATACCTTGCTAATGATAATATAGCCATTAAATCTCTGAGATGGGATTTGAACTCAGGTCTGCTGACACTACTATACACTGTGTAGTCTAGGCATTTTAAAAAATGTCATCTGGTTAGTAAAATTTGAATAATAATTTTCATTGAAAGTAACTTAATTTGTTAAGAAAGTCAGAGGCACCAGGTTCTCCTAGACATAAGTGAAATACTGAGTATCAAATGTGAACCCCTGTTTGTGTTTAAAGCCTTTCAAAATCTGCCTGTAATTTACCTCTCCTGCTTATTATACATATTCTCCCTTCATGTACCCTTAGATAGGTCCAGCCAAACTGGCCTTGCTTTTGCTCACATATAGCATTCCAAAGCCTGCTTCCATGCCTGTCTCTCCCAGCCCCCCAAAATACCTGGGATTCACACTTTTCTCACTTCTGCCTCTTGAAATTGTGCCTTTCCCGATCCCTGCCTGGTTGCTCATGTTTCCCTCCCTGTCCCCTGAAGAAAAAAAATCTTTTATATATTTTATCAATACTTAGACATACATATTGTTTCCCCCATAGAATGTAAACTCATTGAGGGCAAGAACTTTTTTGGCATTGTAATTACAGTGCTTGGCATAAAAGCAAGCTGATCAGTTGAGACTGATTTTTGTCACACATCTTATGTCTATACCTTTCAATTCATATTGATGTTTAAAATTCTTGTTTATTTAAAACAAATAACAAAGTTAATGCACATTTTACAATATCAAAAATGTGGCAAGTTATGAAGTAGTTTCATCATATGAAGATGTTGAAGTTTGATCTCAATGAAATAGCAGCTAAAAATTACTTTTTATAACAAGATGAGAAATAGAGTGTAACATTTACTCCTGTGGAGAGTATGGTAGTCTTATTTAATTATATTGAAATGAAAGTAATATTTCTTATACTGTAAAATAAAGTATTTTTTAATCTATAGACTTTGTTTGATTTGGGACATTGACTTTTCTTCACCCTGATCTTTTCCTTTAATAATTTCATTGTTATATAGCACAAATAACTTACTGAGCAAAGGAAAAGGGAAGTATTTCAGTATCAGATAAACATTTTGTAATATGAAAAAAAACTGATAATATAAAGTTATGAAATTAGAAAGGGAAGAAAAGGTCAATTTTCTCCATTCCTTCTCTATTTTTTAAGCATTTAAGACTGTAAAGAGGGGGAGGAAAGGAAAACCGTATACATATTATTTTGTAAAAATTGGATTGGATTTAATTATCAGTTCTGTCCTTTTGTAAGTAGTATAATTTTAATATTTCTTAAGAAAGAATAGAACTTGGAAATGGAAAGGAACCTAGAAATCATCCAATCTATTACTTCTGCTTCCCAACTCAGTGTACAGATGAGGAAGCTGACACCCCTGCAAGCTGTTTTGTCTTAGTATCCCCAGGCCTAGATTACTATATTGCCTTAATAAATGTTTGTAGAATTACATTGTTGAGATTTGCCCAAGTTATAAAGAACTCGGGTCTCTTTAATACCAATCTAATGCCCTTTCCAAATAGTTTGGTCTTATTAATTACAATATTATTGAGGGTTAGGGAGAGAGCACCCAATTGAATGTGTAGCCTGTGGTGTGAAAATTCATTCAACCCTTCATGTTCACCAGATAGCCAGTGTATTGTTTCTATGAGAAGTTTATGAAACTTGAATAGACTAATAGTTGGATGTGGGATAATATAATATATATTCCATGAATCTAAAAAGCAAAATATTGGTAAGTTGAAGAACTAAATAATGATAGATGGAGGGACAAAAGAACTGAACTCAGTTCATATGTCACTGGACTAACTGAGTAAACTTCTTTATCTTATATTTTAGTTTCAAATTCACTGGCCAAAAATCTCATTCATTCATCTTCCTCTCCCCTTCTCTTCTATCCCTCCCCCATTCCTTGCCTTCCCATTACCTGATTCTGTTAATGGTGCAGCAATCAAGCAACTCTTGAATTGGAATGCAGTAGAAGCAACTCTCATTCACCTCATAGCCATCCTTCTTTTCTCTGTCACCACCCTAGTTTAGGCATCCTGTACCGTTCACCTGCAACAGTTGTAATATTCCTCTGTCTTCCTTTCCTACACCCAACCTCTATCCAGTTATTGTTTACTGTAGCTTACCTGAAATAAGACTTTTTAAATCAAAATAATTCAGTCCTAGGAAGGTATGAACTACCAAATATGCAGAGATCAGAGTTATTCTTATCATCAAGCAATCTCTCTTAGCTATTCTCTAAATCTTGTTTCTTTTGCTCTGTATCAGTATCCTTCATCCTGAAATTTCCTCATGGTCAGACATTTTTAAGGAAATTTAGTTGGTATTGTGGCATTATGGAAATATCACTGGATTGAAGTCAGGTCAAATTTAAATTCAAGTTATGTGTCTCCAGGTTATTTTATCTTGAGAATTGGCTAAGGAATATTGTTTTGATATTCTTCAGTAACAAAGATTAATGAAATACCAGTGGGTATTGGGAAGAGTTTAGCTGCACTCACCAATAGTCAGCTGATATTTAGCTGACTGTGGAGAAGTCATGTGTTTTGAATATAAGAATAGGCACTTTCAAATGTACTTAGTGCCAGTAATTAGAGTAAGCCTTAATCCACAGTGCTAAAAATATTCAACAATACCTTTTTTCCTTACTTATCTTTTGCTGATTTTATTTCAGGTTTAGATTAATAAATACATGCACTAAATGAATGTAATGAACTCAATTTAATTTTTTAAAAGGTATTAAGGACTGATAACAATTGTTCTTTTTGATTTATCTTAATTTTTTCTCCCTAAATCAGTGTCCATTTTTGTGTTTTTCTTTCATTACACTTTTTCATGTCATTTTGAATATATTTTGTCTTGTATCCCCAATATCTAGCAGAGGGCCTGGCACATAGTATTTGCTTTTAGTAAATGGTTGTTGGTCAGTGTTTTATTTTTTGGTATGTTGAGCAGACATTTTTCTCGTCTCCCTTCCTGCCTTGGAGTATCCCTGAAATTCTGTAGATTCTCATGACCCTACACATTCAGAAGTACTTTTTTTAGTAATTTTGAAAAGACAACATCTATGTAGCATTATGAAATTGCTATGTTGATGATCTATGACATTTCTATAGTGCTTTCTTACAACCACCCTGTGAGAGAAGTGGTATAGTTGTTTCCATCATACAGATGAAAAAACTGAGGCTTGCAGAAATTGAGGCTTGACTCAAGCACACATGTCTAGTAGAGGATAGACTGGCATCTAGATCTTCTTGGGTATTTAGGCACAAGGCTTTTTACATGTTTCTAAAATGTTTTATCAGAGTCCAGTAATTGTTATTCACATTTACAAAAAGCTCCTTCACATTATAAATTGTTTTCCTCACAACAGTCCCATAAGGTAGATTTCCTTTTATATGGATGAGGAAATAAGTTTAGAAAGGGTAAGTGACTTTTCCACGGTCAATGACATGGCAAGTGTTGGGAGTCAGGACTGAAACTTGGGTCTTCTGATTACAAATCAAGTGTATGCTTTAATATGCCACTATGTTTCTTGGCAAAAGAATTACATAATTTTAGCTGAGAAAATTGGTCTCCTAATTAACTTATATTGGAATAAAATAATATAATAACTTATATTGGAATAAAAACCAAGCTTATTTTACCCCCGAAATCTGGTCATTCTGGCACATATTTCTATCAGTTGCATTTCTTGTAAACCTACTCTTTTATTTTTGAAATCTTACTATTAACTTTATCTCTTCTCTTTCCTTCACTTCCCACATTCAGTTAGTTATCAAATCTTATGAGTTCTACCTTTTCAATATATATTTTGTTATGGAAATAGCATAATTTGCTTTGCTGCTGCACCTTAAGACCACAGGACCTTTTCATCTAATTTTATATATTGTCTCCCTATTAGAATGTGAGCTCCTTGAAAGCAGGGTCTGTCTTGCTTTAATGTTTGTATCCCTGGTGCTTAGCATAGTGCTTTACACATAGTGAGTAATAAATGCTTTTTCATTCAATAATTATTGCCACTAACCAAGTTTGGACCCTCATTTCTACCAGCCTTAAGCAATAACCTCCTAACTGGTCTTTCCTTTTCTTTTCTGGCAGCATTGTGAGGAATGGTGGAGGTTGGCGGGGAGAAAGAGAGAGTCATCTATATGCATGAATTTAGTCATGTCACTCTTCCCCAAACCATTTCAATGGCTCCCTGTTGTCTACCTAATAAAATCCAGACTCCTTATGCTGGTATTCATAGCCTGCTCCTACCTTTCTTTCTAGTCTTCTGATTATTGCCTATCTGTCCAGCCAAAAATAGACTACTTGATTTCCTCTGTACATATCTCACACCTCTCCTCTGCTTCTCTGTTCATGGTGTTCCTTATGCCTGAAGTACCCTTTCCTCTAGCTCTATCTGTTGATACTATCATCCTTTAACCTAGTGCAAATGTCATCTTCCTGAGACCTTCCATGATTCATCACCACTCCTAATTAATATTGATTTCTCTCCACCTACATTTTACAATATAGGTATTTGTATGTTTCCTAACATTTTATAGACTGTCAGCTTACTAGGGGCATGAATAGTGGTAGGCTGGACCTGACTGAGGAATGGAATGAAGTATGACATTTAATCTAGCACTTAATGAAGAGAAGTTTATTTAGCTGCAGTATGGAAAGAGTATTCAGTAAGTATATAGCATGGAATGATGGGCATATTTCCCTGGCTCTGTGTTGGCTATGCTGGTGCACTGGTCAAAACTTGAGGGAACTCCTGACTTCTCATGCTGGTTCTTGTACTTAGGCCACCAGGAAGCTACCTTAACAGCCAGGGCCTTGGCCAGTTAAGTCTCACAGATGGTTTCCATACCTGTTAAGGAAAGGATAACCTAGAGCCTTAAAATATCCCTAACCTTGAAAATGAAGAAAATAGCATTGGAGAAGGAAAATAGAAACAAACATGGAAATAGCAAAAAATACCACAAGCAATGTAATAGCCTCCTGAAAGAGTGAGGGAACATCACAGAGACTGAAGACCAGAAATCCCAGGTTTTAACTCTTCACTTCAGAAGGACAAAGTTTCATGTCTTAATGATCTGGTCCATGTGGTGGATGATACCAAATTTCTTCAGTTCACAGTGGCTTTCTTGATGTAAATGAAAATGAATAGGAGCAGATGACAATTGTGGCACAGTTATTGATTCTCATCTTGGGTCAAGGTCACCTGTAGTAAAGTTGTTACCTTCTTGCATGCTGCCTGTGCCAATTCTGGGATCTATTTTGAGAATCTCTATGTACTACCACACTCTCAGTGTTCTCAGGGCCACCAATCAGGACCTCTCACTCCCTAGAACTGCCTTGGGTGTGGGGTAGACTACTGAAGCTTTTCTTCTTTAGAGACTCTGCTGAGGAACTGTCCCTCATTCCATGGAGGATAAGTAGACACTTTTCACCTACCCTTGTCAGAAAGCAGGCCAGCTTCCAACAGGGCCACTATTTGGTTCTCTCAGTCTTGCCTGGGAAAGAGATTGTCCAGTGGCCACTGGGTACTAACTGTACTGGTACTAAACTAGTTACTGTAAGCAGAGGGTTATGCTAGGCCTATCTTTGCCAGTACTCACTCTGCCACTAGGCATGTGCCACTGTCTGCCAGTGCTTAACTGCTTTTAGGCCCTGGGGTGACAATGCTATTTTCTTGTGTTCAAAGTCTTGGGTCCTAGGTGCTATCCCTCTGTGCTGGAACGTATGCCAAACCTGTGCCAAAGTATGAGTGCTGCCCCTGCTGGAGCCTGAGTGCTCTTCCCTTCTCTTGTACTATATTAACCAAACACTGTTGCTATGGATGCCATTGTTAGGATCTAAGGTAACTTCCAGTACGTGTGCCCTAGCTGCCATACACATATAGTTGCCATTCCTACTAGGAAAGGAGGAGATACCCAGAACCTTTGGTAGGACCTACACTATAGGGACCTTAAGTCCCAAGGAGAGAGAGTTAAAATTCACAGGAGCTAAAGCAGAAGCTATCTGTCCTTTTAAATTGATATACCCCCTTCTCAGCAATTCAGTTCAAGTTCATTTGGAACATTTGTCCCTGTCACCAATTCTAGAAGTCTCTGGGGTCCTGAGGTGGTTCAGGCATTGTGCTTTCAAGTGCTTCTCCCAGTGCTTTGCATTAAAAATTCCCCTCAAAACCCCCTGGCATAATTGCAAATGGTTTCCCAGATGCCACATAAAAAAAATTCCAAATAGTTCCTTCTGCATAATTCTTAAGTCTAAAATTTTCATTAATGGAGGGCTCATGCCTACTACAGTTGGTGGTGTTGGAGATCACTGTCACCCTGAAAATTGGAAATTAAGCAAGTTCAACAAATGACACTTTACAATGTTTACTATCTTCAGGGCACAGGTTTTAAAGACGTCAGAGTACATTCACATCTGTTTTTAGATGAAGGCTCACAGACAATTGCCTTTCTGATCCCCTCTGGCCAATGTGGATGCTTCATACTATATAGCCAGCACTCCCAGAAGTACGGCCAGAACCATGAAAGCCACAGGTTGCATTCACCTCCACTCAAGGCTCACTTTCACATTGTCCTTCCTCTACTCCTAATCTAATCCTGCCTGTTATTGCCCAAATTGAGGTTGGGTTTGATTTAGGCTGGCCTGGTGTTTCAAATTAGGTATTGGAACCTGACCATAGACCATCTGGCAGTTAACCAGAAAAAAAAAATAAAGGTTTACTTAGCCATGGCATGGAAATGATATTCAGCAAGGACATCTCCCAACTTCCTTTATGTTGGCCATACTGATGTATGTGTGTGTGTGTGTATGACATTAAGGAAGACATATATGTCTTAATGATATGTATATAGATATTTGTGTGTACATATGTGTGCGTGTGTGTGTGTGTGTGTGCATAGGTCTCTTTATCATTTGGGAGAAGCTGCTGCTGCATCTTAGAAGGAATCATAAAAAATACCATTAGTTTTCTCTTCTGATTTAGAGCTGGAAGGGACCTTAAAAGGCCATCTAATCCAACCCCCTTATTTCACAGAAGGAAACTGAAGCAGAAATGTTAAGTGACTTGACTAGACTTATCCACACAACTATTAAGTTTTGAAATCAGGATTTAATTCAGTCTTCCTGAATCCACATCCGGTTCCCTATCCACTGCAACACCTACTTGTCTCTGATCCACTCAGGAACATGTTTTACTCAGATCAGAAAGATGCTTGAAGCTTTCACTGATTCTTTTCTTCCCTACTTCCTCCCTCAAGGGAAAAAAGTCAGAAATATTTTATTCTATTTTTGAGATTTCTGATATATATACACACGTATATTTTAACCTCTTGTGCATTTAGCACATTTTAATTTGTGTGTTTTTATCTCTTCTGTTCTGTGGTAAGTTTCTTGAAGACAAGGGCCATGTTTTAAACACTCCCCACAGAGCCTAGAACATAGACACTTAATAGTCAAATATTTAATTGGATTGAATCACTGAAATTTTAAAACTGAACTTCCAGAGTATAGGATTTTAGAGTTGAAAAGGGGCCTTAGAAATTACCCAAATTTAAGGAAGTTGAGGTCCAAAAAGGTTCAGGGGCTTTCCTATAAGATGTGAAAATAAAAGTATCACAAGATTGAAAGAACAGACCTTAGAGGACAATTAGTCCTATACCCTCCTTTTACAAATGAGGAACCGTAGCCCAGAGAGATAAAATAGTTTCTGTAAGGTTACAACAGAAAGTAAGTGGCCAAGCTAACACTTGAATACTGGTCATCTGATTCCTAATCCAGAGCTCATTCCAATTTATCACAAGGTCTGCCCTGTCATAATTTATTTAGCTTCTGTGTAAAGACAAGGCACTGTGATGAGTGCTAAGTATATGAATATACAGAATATATAATGTACAGGTGATATTAATTATATATATTACCCAAATTCAGCTAATGTGCAAGATGGGCTTCATCATTTTTAGATGATTTCATACAGAGAGAAACAGGGATATATGTATATCTAAAGACAGCTGATGCCATATATTAATGTTTATGTATGAAATCTTGAGCATCGAAGTGCTGAGGCCCTTTCTGTATGTTACTTAGATTTAGATAACATGCATGGCAAGTTTAAAGATAATCTTAATTAATTTTCCAAATATTTCTCTGCCCATATTTATATCTGAACCAATATGATTTTACATTAGTCTCCTCTTATTTTTTTTTAACTCTGCTTCTTTCCTCAAGCCTAAGTCTACATTAATTTCTTTTTGTGCCATTTTAATTCTAATTGAAGCAATTTGATGAGTTATGTAGCTTATAACACAGACCTGAGACCCTTAATGACCTCAGTAATTTTTGCTTTCTTGTTATTGGGATGATACACTACAATTTTGAATTCTCATTCAAGGGGGAGGAATATAGGAATATCACTACATTATGCCATCTCAATAAAGGAATGACTTCTATAGTCCTGGTGGGTCTGGAACCCAACCTACAGCAGTGGGGACAAAGAGAATGTGCAGGCAAGACAAGATGTCTGCAGCTATAGGAGACCATGGGAACTCTTTATCTGTCCAGGAAATGATGGGAAATACCTGAATTTTTGTTTAGGTACCTTTGAATCTATTAAGAATTCTAATAATTCTATTATTCTGTTAGTGTGGAGCTGAAAAGTGGTCTGATTAAACTGTTGTGGTCTGTTCAAATAATAGATGTATCTTGACCAACCCATCATTTTAGAATCCTTTCAAAACCCACTTTGCAATTGGGATTTACCATCTTTGTGAATGAAGTTCCATCTAGAAGTTACAAATTCCCAGGTACCTGGGTGACAACTAAGGTGTGTCTGCTATAATAAAAATTGACCCCCACTTTCACAAGTCATATGTGGAATTAAATTCTTTATTTTTAAAAAAACAAATTTGTTCTGTATTTCTCATGAACATTTTCTGGCTTCTTCTTATACTTTAACTTTTGTTGGCTTTTCTTACAAACATCCTGCTATTGGAAATGCTTTCCCTTCTTCATTTCCTGTTAGTGACAGCCCCTATATAATGTTTTAAGCAGACTGAATTTTTGTATTTAATTGAACATATTTTTCTTTCCCTTGCCTTGATTTGCTTATGTCAGCAAATTCTGAGTAATTTACATGAGTGAGACTGATGAGATTTACTTTTAGCTATATGCTTGAAATGGTACAAGGAACATAGTAGGTATTCATACCAACAAAAAGCATGCTATAATAAAGTACACCTGGTTCTTTGAAAATTTCAACTGAGATGAATATATTTTATACATGGATTACTTTCCTCATTCTTATATCCTGGATTGATAACATTAATCAGTAAGTTAAAAGTAAATTCTTAAAAAAAAGACAAGTTAAGAGAAATCTCATAAATGTTCTGTTTTAATGATGAATATTGATGGCATATAACAAAATATTGTCTGAAGAAACTCTCTTGGTACTTATATGTTGTTATAGATATGCTAGCCTGTATTTCTGCTGTGCTATTGAAGATCAGGACAATGAACTAATTACCCTGGAAATAATTCATCGTTATGTTGAACTACTTGACAAATATTTTGGCAGTGTGAGTAGTAATTTTTTTTCAAAAATAAGATTCCTAGCCATATTTCGAATCTTATATATGTGTTATCATTCTTGTATTTTGGAATAAGCATCTTACTGTTTTAAAGTAGTGAAGTATGATTGAACGTCAAAGAATTTAGCCAGAGCATTGTGATTTCAATTTAATCAAGCATTTTAATTCTTGCACTAGGGAAGAGTCAGACAACATATTGACTAGTTGCCATAGGTGAACTCTTCATCTGCACTAAAAATAGTTTTAATAATTTTTAGTTTTTTGAAAATATAGAAAAACCAAATGTGGGCGGCATAAACTTAGGAAATGCGATGCTTGAAGAGGGAGATACAAAGTTAGATGACTGATGAAGGTATAGTTACCTATAGTTAATGGTGACCAAGTTATTACCACAGCATTTTGGGAACAAGTACTGCCAAATGAGCAGCGGTTTTCCATTGCCTTGCCCTAAGACAGCAAAGTTTCTAATGGGAAAAAAAAATTCTCCTAGTCCTTAATAGTCCTTAATAAATGACATGTAGAGTATACTCATAGACCTTTGTTATAATGTCAGGCTGTTTATAAATACCACAAAATGGGACAAGCCTAGACGTCATATTCCATAGCAGAAAGGAAAAAATATTTTTCTTGTTAATAGCCCTCCTCTTCTTTGCCAGGATTGCCTTACTTTTAAAAGTACACTTATGAGAATGAGGTTTAAAGTTATGTAATGGAAAGGAATTGTAACAACAATCACATTAGTATTCTTGAATTAATTATGGAATTTAGATTTTTGTTAGTGTTTATAATTTACTGCTTAGGGATAATGTTAGATAAAATCAATTTTGAAGAAGGGAGATATCATCATTACTCATGTTTGGGAGATTGTAGATTTAGGTTTTTTTCTGTAATATTTTACAGGAATTGCAATGCCACAAATGTGAAAGTTGAGCTTGTAAAAAATCAGTTTTGTTTTGTTGGCAATATAGCCTTTTTTAGAAAGGTTGGGATTAATTTGATGTCATGGGAGTAGGCATTGTTGATGTCCTTAGTTTATAAATTTTTTCCTGACTTTAGAAATAAAGGGGACAAATCTTGCTTGCCTAAGTGTTAAAATGCACTTTTTTTACATTTCAGGTGTGTGAACTTGATATCATCTTTAATTTTGAGAAAGCTTATTTTATTCTGGATGAATTTCTTTTGGGAGGAGAAGTTCAGGAAACATCCAAGAAAAATGTTCTTAAAGCCATTGAACAGGCAGATCTGCTCCAAGAGGTAAGTAAGTGACTAGTGATTCTCCCAATGCTGAAGCATGGTATGCTCTGCTGGAAAAGGCTCTTTTGTCCTAAATAGCTTTAGGAATTCTTAGCATGCTTAGCATGTGGCATACGTGTGTTTTACATGTGTTATGTGTACAATCAACTCATTCATTTTAGTGGATAACTCACTGTGTAGATCCTGCATGTAGCCTTCAGGCTTCCCACACTCTTGTTGCTCTGTCAGGTTTGGAACCATAGGCAGTAGATATCAGCCTATATATCACCAAATATCCAATGTAAATCTCAGTTTTGGAACTCTCCATTGTTTGTCAAGAATGTTATTTTCCAATAACTTGAGTTAATTGTACCATGCTGGCATTTCATTTGTTTTGCATTTTCACTTCCCATGTAAGTGTAAATGGGACTTAGTACATGGTGTTCTCCTCATGCTTTATATATGTTAATTTTTCAAAGGCTGATTACCCTGTAGTTTTCTGTTACCAAGTCAGGGGTTTTGATTTTATTTTTAACTGCTTTATCCAAGCTACTTAGACTTTTTTGTGATTCCTAAAGATGGTGGGGGAGTTGATTTTAATAATTTGCTAGTAATGCCATGTTGTATTAAATAAGCAATATACCTAAATTCCTTTGTCTTCCTTACCCCCTTTTCATTTACCACAGTTCTTTGTTTTAGTTCATTTTTGATGCATGTGTGTTTGTGGTTTGATTTCTGAAGTTCAAAAGTTAGACTCTTTTTAAGGAGTTGATGAATATGGTTCACATGACATTTTCTGAAGTTCATCAGTATAATTTTTGCATTATAACATACTTAAGTAGTATTTAAGACTTAGGTAGTTATAGAGAACTTAAACCATGGTATTTTTTTTAAAGATTTGGAAGATAATGCAAAGTACAGAAAATGTTTTTTAAAAAACTGCTTTCTGTTAAATAGCTACTTTTTTTTCCTGGTGTGTCATAGTGTCTTTTTGAAGTGGCTTGTTTTTTGAGTCCTTATTCTTAAGATGAGAGAATTAGGACAGGAAAGGACCACAAAGGTAATTTAGTCCAAGCCCTCCATTTTACAGATAAAAATTTACAGGGTAAACTGAAGCCCAGAGAGATCAAATGCATTAGTTAAGAACACAGAGCATTTGCAAGGGTATCTTTTACAAGAACTTACCCGTCAACTTAGTTATTTTTAGATACTTTTTTTTATTGTTGAAAAAACTCCAACAATATATTTATATTTTTGCAAAATTTTCTCTTGTACATAATGACCAGTTTAAGGTAAGGAAATGATAGTTGAATAAAGAAAGGTAAGATGTCTTATGTTTCAATTCTGCTTTCCTAAACTTTGACCTCCATCTGGGAAAAAAAAGAAATTGTTCTTTCTCATAATCTCCCTACATCAGTTACTAATTAAGTTATCGTGAAATTTTAAAATATCACCCAGAGATTAATCAGCTGTTATATGAACATTGCTAACATTTTCTGCAAAAGTCAAACAACTTATTTTCTACTCTTATATCAGATATTATGAAGCAGTGGAATTTGGCCCCTTTAGAAACTTTAAACTTTTAATGGTACATTTTTTTATTGAATTTACAGTGTGCCCATAGTTGTTTATAATTACAGTTCTGTTATTAAAATTTTTATAGTGGTATGCAGTGTAATCTTACATTATTTGTGAAATGATTTTCATGGTTAGCACGTTTTCATACACATCATTTTTTCCAAAACCCAAATATTTGCCTTTAGAAGTTCCATAGCTGTATACAACTGTAAGACCAGGAAGGAAGAATTAAGTTCTTTCAAAAGATTACCTTGTAATCTTTTATGTGCTTTCTTTTTCACTCTTTTATTTCCTATGATTGAAATATATCAAAATGTATATGATTAGAACTGTTTTTCCAGTTTTCCATCATTCCTTTGTTGTCTCAAAGTAAAACTGAATTCTTTCTACTTAGTAGGTATTTTTATGACCTCATCTATGAATGATTCTGTGAACATCTGTTTCCTTATTTACAGATCCTGAAATTATTTATTTAAAATAATTTTTCAATCATTTAGGTTCACTTTTTAATTACAAATTGTTCTAGAAATAGAATGCTTAGTACACTAACCTTTCCTTCAGGGTTGCATGTGGTTTTTTTTTGTTTGTTTGTTCATTTGTTTTAACCTCAAAGGAAGGTATTACAAAAGAAGCAAAAATTTTAAATTTATATAATACCTTTTAAAAACTTACTCTGTAATATGTTATTAAGTAATGCTAAATCTTTTTTTAATAGATCATAACTAGAATTGGTTTCTTTTAATTGAATTTTTTTTAATCTTTAGGTGAGGAAAGCTTAGGTTAAAGTTCAAAATTGGAAAGGAAAAAAAAAAGCTAGTAAGTTCCCTACCTCTAATTTCATTGTCTACACAGGCATTTGAAGGTTAGAACCTATTATTTATCTATAAGTGCCTTTAAAAGCACAGATGTTTTCGTCTAGAGTCATGCAGAAACTGTAATGTAACAACAGTTCTGTGTAGATAAAATATTTTTATTCATGTAGCTACTGGATCTTTAATAGGATTAAATAATTTTCAGCCTATGCTGAAAATCATCTTGTACACTGCTAAATTAAATTCTCTTATTAATGTGGTTGCTTATTCAGAAATTATTTATGCTGTTATAGACCCCCACCATACTTTCTTAATGGAAAGTATCTTTGGCATGTTTCTCAGGTTGTTTTACCAAAATGTCCCCAGCCCCCCAAATCATTAGGAGATAACTTGATAATTAACAGGCATATTACTTTTTTCATAGGAAGAAAATACAGTAGTAGCTTTATTCTGAATACCTTGACATACACAGTGTTGTTATCTTGTTTTCTTTTAAGTGTGTTGTCCTGGTATTTACTTGGTATGTTAGTCCAAGTTTTTAATATGAAAAAAAAACCTTTAACAATTTAAAAAATATATTCTAAATAGAATTCTTGTTAGATATAGTTGTTTCCTATACCTATATCATCTTTAGTACCTCCCAACTCATAGTTTGGGGAATAGATCTCTTAGAGTCTGCCTTAAAATTGGTCTCAGAAGTCTATCATAATTGCATAAAACTCCAAAAAAGTTTCACAATGATGTAAAAGTTAAGGTAAGATGTAGTCTTTTACCTATCATTTTTCAATTTGATTAGGTATTTGTATTGATTTAATAGCATTTTGACATACTTTGAGATATAACATTTTAAAATAGACATTGGTTTTGAGGTGCCCATTAGCAAGATTTTTTTTCTTTTTTTTGGTATCTTTTTTTTTTATCTGAAGCCAGTCTTTTTATCTCTATAGATAAATTTGAAAAACTTGAAAAGTTAAAGATTTTCTTTTTCAAATAATTAATAGCTATCAGTTTGTATAGGGCAGTTAATGAATGGGTGAAATAGATTTTCTCTTCTGATGTGCAATAAGTCAGGAGTAGGACAAATGTGTTTTAAACAATGATTTTTTCCTGATAGCATCTATCATGACTAGTGTGTCTGGTGCATTTATTTTTATACAGATCCAAATAAATAGTATTTTGATTGAAATAAAAGTTAAAAGATCAATGTATTTACTTCCAAACTGGACTATATATTTTGTCGTTCTGGCATGTAGCTGTATAACCAGACAATGTCAGTTGGGGCGAGGCCTAGAAATTGGTCCAAATAATTAAAGTTTTAATATTTAATTGTTGGATATATAGAAAATGATTTATTAATATACCATTGGTATTAAACTTTATTAACCTTATTAAAAGTAATATAAAGTAAAGAAATGTAACATTAGGAATGTTTAATTGGTATTCTGTTGTTATACTTTAAATATATTCCTTCTAAAAATATATTACATAGCCAGTATAATAAATCTTCTTTCATGTCACCACCAATATTAAAATACCTTATTTAAAATTAGATTTGAAGGTGGAAACATGATGGGGTAGAGGGAAGGTGGGTAAAACACTAGAATTTTCCTACCTTATCAATAGTGACAAAAACACAAAAATACACGTATTTTTCAGTCAGGTACTTAACCGTTTTTCTCTACTGCTTAATTTTGTAGAACCAGAATGAAGACTGGGGAGGTTTGTGTGACGATACCTTATGATTAAGAACAATATAAGGCTTTAGTTTCCCTTCACCCCCACCCTAATTATTGGTAATTACTAAATTTACCATTTTGGTGGCATGGATAAAATGAGGTGCTATGCAAAGATTGTTGCACGTGAAATGAATTCAAGTCCTTGCTTGATAAAGTGAAGGCAAAGCAATAATATTAGTATGGGTGATGGGCTTAAACCCTGTGCAGTATTTGCATGATGGTATTTAAAGAGTGCTTTGGGGTATGTTTTAACCCTTTCCTTTTCATACTAACAGCATCAATTTGAAGTTTGGGGTTTGTTTTTTTTATTTTAATTCCCCTTTTGAGCTTTGCTATTGATACTGTTTCTTATGAAAGTGGTTTGTGGAAAATAAAGAAAGTAAGCATTAAACCTGGGAGTTTGTTGCATCTTCTTCAAGATGACCTATTTATAAATAATTATATTTGAGTATGTAGTTGTTAATATATTACTTTTAGGAGATGGAGGCCTAAGTGATTTATTTTAACACTGTGTGCTGCATGATAGAATAGATTATATTTGCATCTATAATATATCAACATATTTGTAGAGAGGATGATTATTAGGGAAAATATAGCAGTACTTCAAAAAGCAAAGGTAAGACTCTTTGGAGAGAAAATGTTTTTAATAGTAATTTGGTAATTTCCTAAATATATTTAATATTTCATGACCTATTTTTATACCATGTTTATTTTATTGTGGTTTTCTGTATAAATTTTCCATATTAAAATAATAATTTGGATTGGCAATATAAATTGCAGAATACTTTTAAAGATAGTTATGTAAGTTTCAATTGCATAACAGTAACTTCAGCTGACAGTTGAAAATGTTTTCATGCAGATATCTGATATAGTTGGCTTTAATGTTTATCTCACATTAACAAAGCATTTTCCTTACAACAAAGAAAGATATTTAAACCAGATGAAGTAGTAGTGTCCCCCTTGCACATATGTGGAAACTACAGTTAAGAAAGGTTATTCTCTCCCACTTACTTCCCTTCCATTTGAATGATAAAAAAGAAAAAGAAAAAACCACCTCATAACAAATATGCATAGTAAAAAAAAAAATGACTGCATTGGCCAAAAAGTGTATCCGGTTCTATGTTGTAAGTCTAACATGCCACTGACAGGATGTAGTATGCTTCATTTTTGATCTTTTTGTGATCAAAATTTGTTAAAGCCTTTCAGAGTTGTTTTTCTTTATAACATTGTTGTCACTGTATAAATTATTCTATTTCTACTCATTTTACTCTGCATTAGTTCATAGAGATTTTCCCAGTTTGCTCTGAAACTGTCCTTTTCATGATTTGTAATTTCTTATGGGAAAAAAAAAATGACTTCTACACTCAATAAAACAGCAGCCACCGCAAAAAATACCTGCATCATTTGTTTTTAATCTGTGACTTAGACTTTTAGTCTATAGTCATTTCATCTTTCCTGATTTGTAGCTAGGGTCATACAGCAGCAGCCACAAACTAGCTGCATTTTGGGGAATGAAAAAGAATAAGCGCTAAAGGGAAAATTCAAAGTTGAGAAAAGGGCAGAGCCTTTTGATTGAAGCTCAGAGGGAAAGTAGATGCAGTACTTGGAAGTAGTAGCTGTTAAAGAAACATTGATCAGGGTAGGGGGAAGAGGAAAGAAAGTAAATCAAGAAGGTATTAGATAACAAAATTGTAACCATTATATAGTAGTTAACTATAGCTGCCATGAAATTTGTACTACAGTGGCAAAAGTGAATATGCCTCACAAAGAATGTACAGAAGACCAAAAGTATATTCCTTTTATTTTTTAATCTAATTTAATATTTTTTTGAGGGGCTAGGCAAGGGGTTAAGTGACTTGCCCAGAGTCACACAGCTAGTGTTATGTGTCTGAGACTGAATTTGAACTCAGGTCCTCCTGAATCCAAGGCTACTGCTCTATCCACTGCCCCACCTAGCTGCCCCTAAAAGTATATCCCTAATAAAAGCTATCATGGTTCATTTTGAGCATGGCTATTCAGAAATTTGCTAAATAATGTTTAAAATTTTAGTAACTTATAATTCCATTTTAAATAAAAAGACATATGAAAGGCATATTATACCTAAGCAGAAAAATCAGCATAGTTTAATAAGAAAATGCTTTAATCATCGCATTTAGTTTTCTTAATCTTTGTATATTTGCTTATTATACATCTAGAGGTATATTTAAGAAATGTCCTCTTATTAGCTCCATTTCTTTTGGTAGTTGTTTAAGAACAGACTAAACTAAGCTCAGGAAACTGTGATACTGTGACAGTGTTCTCCCTGCCCCCGCATTAGAATTACTTCATTTTTTGGTTTGTTTGTTTCACGTACCTTTTCTAGAGATGACAGACTGTTAGGGACTAATGTGTAATCCGTTTGCTTTCCAAAGCTATTTAGGATTTTTTAGTACATTATTTGGAGTGTTTTATTTATAATTACAAAAATGCTTTTATAACTAAGTGCAGTTTATTATATTATAGAGGAGTGTGTTCTCTTTAGGATACAAATAGAAAATAAGGTGAAATGTTACATAAAACCTTACCCTATGATATACCTAAAGTTAACTTTTAAGTCTAGTTGAATTTCTTTCATTAATACTTTTTCCTTTTTTGAAATTAAAGGTAAGATCAGTTGCCCTGTATACTCTTTAGTACTTTGTAAAAAGTTTTTGAGCAGGGTTTGAAAACAAAGTGTGTTGATTTTTGAGTCAGAATACCTGAGTTCTAACTGTAACTCTGCTTCTAATTGGGCAAGTAGATGAAGAATGCTTTTTGTCTAGGCTATGCTATGCTATACAGTTGGATAGACAACTTATAGAGTTTATCTGTGTGTATGTGTGTGTGTGTATGTCTGTTAGAGACACAGCAAATGAGTATAGCAGTACCATGCCATAGAAAGCATTAACATATAATTCAGAGAGTATCATGATAGCCTTCTGGGAAAAGATGGAGAGATATGCAAGTTGAATGCTAGGTGAATTCAAAAACGGATCCAAAGAGTGATAATGGAGTATTGTCAACCTGGAAAGAGGCCTTTATAGAGTAGAAGTTATTCATATCAGGGACCTGTCATTCATCCTTTTTAATCAATATTTTTTATCATTGCTGATTGATATCATTGCTTCATTGGATAAATATTTAACATGTTTCTCATTCGGGGAATAAGAGGAAACCTAGAGGAATGGCTAAAAATGTTGGATGACAGAATCATTATCAAAAAAGACTTTAGTGGCCTAGAATAATGAGCTAAAAGTAATAAAATAATATTTTATGAAAGTAGTTGTCTGTTCAAGTACAGGATGGAGCACGTATGGCTAAAAAGCCATTTAAGATAAAAAAGAATTGGAATTTTAACAAATTGAAATCTAAGAACAAGTCAGTTGTGTGACATGGCAACCAAAAAAAGCTGGAGTAATTATAGGCTGAAATAATAATATAGTGAATAGAACATAGAATCTAGGTGATTCAGTGTATAGAGTGCTGAACCTGGAGTCAGGAAGACCTGAGTTCTAGCTATATGACCCTGAACAAGTCATTTAACCTCTGTATTCCTTATCTGTAAAATGGGGGTGATGATATCACCTATCCCCCAGAGTTGAAGTGAGGTTAAAGTGAGATATTTGTAAAATGCTTTGCAAACCTTAAAGTGCTATATAAATGCTAATTATTATTAATAGCAATGAGTTTATAGCCCTATTTTACTCTGCCCTGACTAGACCAAACCTGGAATATTGTATACAGTTCTGGGTTCTATATTTTAATAAAGACAAGGTGGAAGTTGTCTTTCTTGTATTTGCTAAAGGACATTAAAACACTAGACATTTATGTAGTACTTTAAAGTTTACAAAATGGTTTTTGTACACGTAATCTTCAAAACATATCGGCATGATATATTCTATAGGGATTATCTCCAGTTTAGAGATGTGATAATATGTGCCCCAAGAGATTAAATTACTTGGCCATGGTCACACAGCCAGTGTCAGAGGCAGGGTTAAAACCTATGTTTTCTAAGTCACTGGGATTCAATCCCATATGCCTCAGAGGATGCATGTTGAAGTGACTACAAAACCATTCCACATGAGAGTCTGTAGAAAGAAGACTGTCGAGTCTGTAAAAGAGAAGGCTTTGCTGACATATTATTGTCTTCAAATATTTCAAAGGTTACCATATAGAAGAGAGGTGAAACTTATTCTTATTAGTTCTAGGAGGCTGGAGTAGAACCAATGAGTGATTGTTATAAAAAGATAGATTTTGGCCCAAAATAAAGAAAAACTTCCTGATGATTATAGCTATTCCAAAGTAGAATTGGCTCTCTTGGGAGATGATAACAAATTCCCTTATTCTAAACTTGTTCAAATAGAGGCTGGATGATTAGGATAGTAATAGGAAAATACAATTTAGAGCTTGAAAAGAACCTTAGTAATCAACTGGCCCAACCCCTCATTAACCAAGATATCAAAGGTAATAAGTAGCTGCGCTCCTGGGGCTATGAATGGAGGTCCTTAAATTACCGATCCAGTGACCTTTCCATTATAGCATGCTGCTTTTTCACACCACTGGCACAAAAAGAGTTTAATATTGTTTTGGTTCTTTTAAACCAATTCAGTGGATTATTCTTGTTGCAAGCAGATGTTACAGAAGCGCTTTTAAGTTTTGTTGTTTGGTTGTAAGTTTAGAAGTGACCTTAAGTAGTCCAGCCCCTTTATATGGCAGATGAAGACATTGAAGTCCAGAGAGAAGTGACTTGTTGAAAAGAATGCAGTGAAACTACACTTGTCCCGGATGTTGTAAAGGGATTCATACTTCAGATTTGCTGACTGCTGAGGCCTTTTCCAAATCAAATTATCTGTTTTATAAAATCATACAATTCTTTATTTGGGAGTCACTGCTCTAGAGAGATGAATGAAGTTTCTAAGTTTTTTATACCACGAAGACTATTACTCTTGTTTTCTACTTTACTTTCATATCCCGTAGCAGTTAAGACCAGGTTTCTCATAGTCTTTTTGGAACCTCTAAAGAGGTTTCTATGTTCTCTC